AAAAAAAAAAAAAAAAAAAACCTAGTAGAATAGAATAAGATAGGCCAAGCAAGTTCTAGTTTATAGTAAGATTTGCAAAATCCCCAACAAAATTCATAAGCAATTACATTCTCTTTTGTTAAGCAGGATTTGAAGAGAAAAATTCAATAAAAAGTCAGAAGAATCATATCAATAGCACCATAATACAATTGAAAATTGTAGAAAATGCCAACCTTCACATTCAACCCAATTCAAAGATATCAAATGAGCCAAAACAATATGAGTTCTTGAACTATTGAGATTGAAAGGTTAGTGAAAAAAAATAGCAATTGAACTTGGATTACCTCAAATGGCAAGGATTTATGAACTTNCATATCAATAGCACCATAATACAATTGAAAATTGTAGAAAATGCCAACCTTCACATTCCACCCAATTCAAAGATATCAAATGAGCCAAAACAATATGAGTTCTTGAACTATTAAGATTGAAAGGTTAGGGAAAAAAAATAGCAATTGAACTTGGATTACCTCAAATGGCAAGGATTTATGAACTTTCAAACTTTTCACTCCATTATCTCAGTTTCTATCCCAATGTAAACATGCACATAGACACTTCACAATTTTTTTTTCAAAACATAATTGAACAAAAGATCTCTAATTTCCCCACCTTCAACTTTCCATATCCCTTTAAACTCATAATTCCTTTTTGCCCAATTAGAAAATTTTCTTTTCCCAAAAAAACAAAAATACACAGATTTCTACATCCAAAGAGACAACAACAAAATGTAAATCTACATATCCAAGTCATTGAAACAATACTTCAAACACTTTGTCATCACTGTCGCATATCTAGATCATTTCACATAACTTAACGCTAATTATTTCTACTAATTCAAATTCCAAGGTCAAAAGAACATAGCAATTACCTACGGAACATCATTCCCTTGGGATATTAGAGGCAAATTAGCTCAAAGACTTCAACCAACTTAAATGTAATCTGTCACCCATATATGAAAAGTTAATAAATCAAGAAAACTAATGACCATAAATATCAGAAGGCTTGCTCAGTTGCAACTTTCAAATTCTGCAAAGGTACCTTTATACATAGATTTAAGGAGTAGGACGAAAACAAAATTGAAAATGTCATTAACTAATGGCCATAGCTATCAGGACCTTTTTTTATGGATGACAAAATTTAAATAAAATACATAGCTAAAAGATCAACAATAGAAAGGAAGAGAAATTACCTTCCAAGAGCATTGTGTGGCATCACTGAGGTGTTATCATGCATTCCTTTGACAAAATTGTAGAACATGGTGTCTGCACAAACAAAAAACAAATTCGAGATTTCCATGAGTTTGAACGAATAAATAAATTACTGTAGCTAAAGGTAAAACCCGCAATATAATTCTTAACATTAAGAAACAAAACCCACAGAGATCATAGTCAAGTTCACATATTATTGTCCCGTATCTAAAGGTACTGTGTGTAGCACAAAAAATAATTTTATTCTACAACATTTAATAGAATTTTCAAGCAATTTCGAACATATATCGTAGAAAGTAGACAATCACCTACACACTGTGAGCAAGTAGAACAATATTCCATGAGACAAACTGAAAAATAGAATCCCATAACTATATGAGCTACATGTTCTTTGTATTTTTTTATTTTCCATAGCACCCATGCTTCTAAACACATGATCATTTACAGATACAGGCACTAAATAGGCTTATAAATAAAAATAATAGGAATGCCTCTAGTTATCTTGGTCCGGGTGATAGTTATAGGCCGTGGTTCGAACAAACAAAAAATTTGCATTGTTTGGATATAGCTCCTCTCAACAACTTTGCGTTGGTTGGGCCATCTACATTTGTTCTCAAAAGATTGTCCGTAACAGAGAATTTCGTGATATATCATATTTCCAATGCAACCTAACAGAGAATTTCGTGATATGGAACATATGGTGCTACTATTGGGTTTTTTTTTTTTACTTCAGGATTCACTTAGAGTCCTTGCAGTATCTACGAATGATGGAGGAGCAGGTAGAGTATGATATGGAGGCATTGGAAAAGGCTAATGATCTCCTTGGTGAAAAAGAGAAAGAGATGCAAGATTTGGAAGCAGAGGTAGAGTTTTATAGCAGATGAATCAACGATGGAGACTTTGCATGGAAAACATCCAATTCAAGAAGGGAAAGCGTGACAATTGAGACATTTTTTTTTTGAGCAATCACAAAAGCATATTCAAAATCAAACATCAAACGATTCTGGGTCCAACAATAATATCTAATTTTTCAACACAATATAGTGATAACTACAAAAATTATAATTCTTCATAAATCATCAAAGCCCACATATATAGTGTTGGGCCAGGCCCAAAGGCCTAACTCATGTTATAAGCCTGGTTCGAGCTAAAGACCCAATGCCAAGAGATCCAACTAATCAAGCCCAAATGAGTCTACACCCGGATAACCTTATCAAGATCAAAGAGCTGCAGGGGAATATGCATGGTCATCCATGAGTCTCCTCTACCACCTTAGAATAAGGGTCATCCAAGAGTCTCTACGCCACCAAGGGAGCA